TGAATAAAGTATTGCAATGATAATAGAATTAGATTTAAAAAAATAATGCAAAAAAAAATACGAAAAAAAAATAATGAGTGAATAGTAACAATGAAAACGAAAAATAGAGCGTCGTCAGAAAATGAAAAATAAAAAATTCTTGATTTTACATCTTCTGTATTTCGTATTAATATAAGGAAGCTGAAGAACATATGTGAGTTCCACATTTTAGCCCCAAAGGGGCTGCGCTAACAAGCTTTTTTACGTATATTTAGTTAAATGATTTCACCATTTGTTTGATACTTGAATTCAACATAAAATAGTTCTTTTACCGTTTAAAAACTGTAAAACATAGAATAATGTTCGAATTCGATATATAATGATCGTTTTTAGTGATTGCACTATTCTACTTATTGTTATTTTCAACGTTGTCCTATGCTCTAGCCAGAGATGACTATACATCATTTTTCTAAGTGATGAGGAATTTTCAAAAAACAATAAGAAATTTGGAAATTTCCATAAAAAACAATCTATTCTCATATTCGATTTATACAATTAAGAAAGATTAAAAGATAAATAACTCGATCTGAATATTTAAATGGTGAAAGAAAGAAAAAAGGTCGTCAAGTATAAAATGATAACATCGCAAAACTAAACAAAATCATGTTGGTATACAATTACCATTGATAGTATTCTCTTCTCGTTTTGGTCTTATAAATAAAAAGAAAAACAACGAGGGAAATGAGTGCAATAATCATACTATATATAAAAAAATGATATGATCGTTGTTTTAGTAAATTTCTGTTGTTTGTCAAGTCGATTTTGATAGAATGTCTCAAAATGGTCAAACCAATGAAGTTGACAAATCTTCTGATAAACTATATTTAGATGAACCATCTACAGAAAAAGAATTATATAGTGATAAATCATTTGCTTTTGGTTCAATGCAAGGATGGAGAGCATCAAATGAAGATTGTCATAAACATTTAATACCATTAGATAATAATTTAGCCAATAATTGGGCTTTTTTCTCAATATTTGATGGTCATAATGGAATTGATACAGCAAAAAATGCTGCTCAACTTATTGATAAATTGATTTTGGAATCTTTTAATGAAATTCAATCGAATATTGATGATTGTTATCAATTAAATAATATTATTAAAAATATTTTTATTCAATTGGATACAAATTTAAGGGAATTAGTTAAAGATCATAGTGGATCCGTTTGTGTACATTTCTTTTTTTATTTAATATATTATTATTTATTTTAAAATATAAATATATTTAGATAGCAATATTAATTAGTCCAAAAAAAATATTTATGATTAATCTTGGAGATTCTCGTGGAATAATTATATCAAAAGATGGACAAGTTTTAACATCTACGAAAGGTCATTTAATTATTAATATAATAAAGTAAGATATATTTTTCAAATAAATAGATCATAAACCAAGTGTTCGAAAAGAACAAGAACGTATTCGTCGAGCAGGAGGTCGAATAAGTAAAGTTGGAAATGATGTATTACGTGTTGAAAGTCAACTTGCTATGACTCGAGCTTTAGGTGATTATTCATTAGATAAACATATTATAACAGCTATACCTGATTTAATTCAATATGAAAGAGATTCATTAGCAATATATGTTATTATTGCTTCAGATGGAATTTGGGATGTTATGAATAATGAACAAGTTGCATCATTTGTTTCTCAACGAGTATCAAATACAACATTAGAAAATATAATATCACAATTATTTGATCAATGTTTAAAAGAGGAATCTTCAGATAATATGACTGCTTATATTATTAAATTAGATTAATCTTGGGAATATTTTAATTTATTTCATTTATTGATTTTCCTGTTTTTTGTTTGTTTTAATAATCGAAAATAATATCTTCTTGTAAAGAATTTCGTAAAAAAAAAGGATAAAATTAGGATGTGTCTTTAAATTCTATAATGAGATACATAGTTTATTGAATAATCAATAATCTATTAATAAAATAACCTCGAACTTAAATGAAATAATATTGATATTAGAGATAAACGTATTTAATTTATTTTTGAAATTATTTTTTTTATCTGAAAATAATTGAATTGAATTTCAATCGAACTTATTATTTTTATTTTCTTCTTTAACTTAAAAAGAATTTTCTAGTCAAACGATAGATTCATACTAGTTTTTTTAATGAAAATCATTCATATTTCTTTTATCAATTACAGATCAATTATGGGAAGTTTGGCTTCATTTAAACGATACAAGCTATTCATTATACAACAAAGATGGAGAATTTTTTACGAAATATCCTAATAAATTCAACATGCTTTAAACTGTTTCGTTGAAGAGAAGAATAATTGTTGAGAAATAGGTGAAAATCTTATCAATAATTCGATTTATTCTATAAAATACTCATTCCTCTACGAAATGATGCACAGTTCAATTCTGAAGTATTTATTCATATAAACAGTGAAAAAATAACTATAACTTAAACCTATCTAAAATGAATTTTTTCTCAACATTTTTACATTTTCGATTTAAAAGTTATTTCTTGAAAACTTTTTTATTGTAATACTTTGAAAGTAACAGCGGAAGATTCAGAATTTCATGCGGAATATTCGCTTAAATTTTAAATATAAATAGCTCGATTTGTAAAATTCGTCTGGAGTTCTTTCAAGTTTTTTAACTTTCTCATTTCTCTTATCGGCTAGAAATTAACTTCTGCAATTCTACTTTTATATGAAGCATCTATTCAAAAACACACACGTAATGGTTCTTTTTAGAATTATATTCTTTATTCACTTGTATTAAAAAATGATTGTTAAATGGTTCAAACGTAGAAAGTAAAATTGTACCATTTGTAAAAATGTATCTATTCTAATCTAGGGTGTGGATGTGGATCCTGTGTTTAAGAATACCCACATCATGTTTAAATAAAATTGGTAAGTGTTAGCCATGAACAACTTCGTCCAAGTAACTTTAATAAACAAGAACGCTGCATAACTTCAATCAAGGTGACAATATCAAGTTGCAGATAGTGATGTTTTTACTAATATCACGATTTTTTTACAAATTCGACAAAAAGCATATATTATAAATTATTAGAGAATATCACATGTGTAAAAAGATCGATAACCTTCTACGAAAATCAACTCGAACCAAAGTAATATATGATTTGCAATTACCTCAATGAAATCCCATTAGTTTGGCTATATTTAAACATCTAGTTGCAAATATTGATGTTTTTATTAATATTTACATATCTGCAAACCCCATTAGATTAACTTGAAGGGTGTGGGTCTGGGTGGATGCGGGTCTGGGAGTGTGGGTGTAGGTGTGTGGGTATGCAGCGTAGATGTTGATCTACACACCCACACCCACACCCCCTCGAATTTCAATATGCTGATGATACAAAGCAACTCTTTATGAAGCTTCAGATATAGGATATCATAAATGTAGGCATTATATGATCAAGTGGTTCCGTAGGAACTTCTAATAACGCTTTCAAGGCAAGAATATTTAACATACAACAATATTTAGTTTAGAGCGCTTCACTGAAATGGATCGATTGGCTAATTGCCTAATGTAGGCGTGCGAAACACGATTGAACAATGTCATAACTAAAGCTGAACAAAAATACAAAAGTAAGAATACAATAAAAATAAAAAAGAATCTCAACAATTCATTTCAGGAGACGTACGGCAGGCGTTATTCGTTAGAAATAAACAAACATCTGCAAATGTCATACCCGCTTCATCACAAATGACAGTACGACAACATTCGTCTAATCATTACATTAATCCAGTTTTTGACATTTCATCCGAACTTGCATTATCTTGACTAGCTACAACAGCTTGACTTGTTGAGAGAAATTTTATCGGTCGATGTAAAGCAATCGTTTTGAGCATATCACGTAATAATCTTGTTAAATCCAATTTTCCATATGCTAAAAGACATTATTTTTACATACTAAGATCTAACCAAAATTTCTCTCAGCATTAAATAAAAATATAAAGATAGGTAGATATTTTTAAGTTTCTCTTATCAAGTATTGAGGATAGTTGCTATGGTTATTTACGTCAAGTTAAGTCCCCTTTAACAATTTATTCAAAGTATTTTAAACTGTTTTTCGAAAAAAATTAGGTACCTTGGAAACCGCATGAGCTAATCATATTTTTAGTTAATGTTGACAGAACTTTTAAGATCTGAGTATATGCGATATCTATCGACACTTACATGGCCGAACCACAATCATATTGAACAAATTTGTGGGTATTTTGTTAATAATGGAATCTGCTTGTAAAACATAAGAAAATTCTAATGTTGCAGCAACAAGATTAACAAGTATAATAGCCAACGAATCTGGATCGATCGAATGTACATCAGTTAGTTCATTTATATATTTTTCTACTAGTAACGAGAACATGACACCCGGCCAGAATTTGAGTTGACTTGCGTTATCAATATTACGACAAATGAAATTCGTTTCAACAATTTAATACGAAATATTTAGCTGATGATATGTAACTGAAACGATGTCTTTTTTTAACTGAACCATCTTACTATTGGACGCCGTATTGGAGAAAAAGTATGCAATCTACCAATCGTAACTCAGCAAAAATCTTTGATTCTTTAATCCATAATAATTTTATTTTTGCAGAACTCTTGTTCAAAAAGTACTTAGATGTGGAACAATATTTTGGAAAACAAACAAACGATATGGCGTCGCTACTGACATATCAGTTCATAACATAAGAATTCTGGCAGAATTCTGATGCGGTAGCAGAAATATTTAACTCAACAATTCTTAAACATTTCAGATAGACTATTGATGATGTATTATATGAATATACCCTCTTAGAAAAACAAAAAACCGTATCTGATGAAGAAAAAAGGGCGATGTATATATAAATGTTGCAGTTGAGTTTGGAATTTAGTTGAGATTGGAATTGTCTAGTTAGTTTGGTTTCTTTATAAATTTTGTTCACATGCATGCAAAAGAATTTGCTTGTTTGTCACTCCGTTTATGTTTATTTTTAGTTCTTGGATAATCAAAATAGATTCATTTTATTATCTTGATTGATAAATAATTATCAGTGACTTTCTCTATTGTTTTCTTGTATAAATATGTATATTAGTTATGACATTGCATTTAATGAATTTTTATATGTAATAATGCTAGAACATGATTTGATACAAAACAATTTCTTGCTGAACTAGTATGGATTGTAGTTCAATATTTTTTGGTCATCTTTGAAAGATAGGGACATTGAATGATTGGTTCAAGCGAAATCTAGAGTAGATTAGTCATTTGTATTATTTATATTTGAATTTATTTTTCAGCTCGGGACATGTGGACATTGAATGATTGGTTGAAACGAAGTGTAGAACAAATTAGTCAACTGTATTATTTTATGTTTGAATTTTTCTTTGATCTCGGGACATATGGACATTGAATGATTAGTTGAAACGAAGTTTAGAGCAAATTAGTCAACTGCATTATTCTATATTTGAAGCCTTTTTTCGAACTCGGGATATGGGGACATTGAATGATTGGTTGAAACGAAATCGAGACTAAATCCGTCATCTGTATTTTTGTAAGTTTTTTTTTTTATGACTAACTCTGATGAACCGATTTGTATAAGATGAAATGTTTCTTTGGCCTAAAATTTAAGTTTTGGTGATATATTTGTATCGTTTGACTTCGAAACATTGAAAATATCGCAATACATTTTATTTTTGATTGCGTATTTGAGACGTTTATTTTCACTATTTGTATAAATATTATATTGTAGTTTATAGCTGAAAACATTTATTTTATTTAAGAAAAAATTCCCACTAGAAAAAATAAATAATTTATCAAATTAGAAACTAAAGAGACATAGAACATGTTTATTTACCATGTTTCATAGTGATGAACATCAATAGATTAATTATTTAGAGGTGATTAAATTCTTTTCAAAAATCCATTATATAGTCATTCCTATTTTTTAAAAGTTAAAATATTTTCAATTTTGAATATTTTATTTAAATATTTTTAAAATTAATAAAAAAAATCACAAAGCCTAAACCAATGAATTAAATTTGCTAGATTCTGAAAACATGAGCATAACAAAAAAAAGTAAACATTAATTATCTTATGACTCATGATGTATGCATGAACTTTTTCTTTTGTTAATGCATTCCAATCTCAACTAAATTCCAATATCAACTGTGACATATATATCCTAATAAACTGAACTCACTTCCACTAACTACACACAAAACTTACATATAAACACCTGAAATTTTGCGCTGATTTACGTGCCGTTTGAAGAAACCGATACAGAAGACAGCCGTAACTCACTGAGTGATATGAGCTCTTTGGATGATGAGTTTGCTAGAATGTAATTTGAATCGTCAAGCTTCGAGGAACAAGTCACGGATGATGATGTGGATTCACA